TCTATGATTCTATGATATTGTAATACAAAATATTTTACTGTTTTTGCTTGTCCTACTTGCTCTGGTGGAAGATGACCAGTAGTTCACCCTCTAAGACTTCTGTGAAGTGCATGGAGCTGCCTCTGGCTGGGCAAAGGGATTCCCCAGGCTTTGGAAGATGATGCAGATAATGTCACCATGATTCCTGTTCAATTGCATTGGATGAAGCCTGTTGTTTTTATTTTTTAAATCAGTGCAACTGTTTTTATTTTTATATCCACAAATCTCACCTCACTAATAATACTGGTTGGTCAGTTTGCAAGTGGAAATGATCTCTATCTCATAAGAAAATTGAAATCAAGCAACTAGATCTAAATTAAGATATATCCATGTGTGGGGTTTGAAAACAGTCATTTCGGAAGGTAAGATTCTTTGTGGTCACAGTTAACCTTAGTTAACTGCGACAGCATCGGAACTTAGTTTTAATTTAATTTAGTTCAGTTTGTTCAAAAAAGATTGTTGGTTCTGGGTAGTTTGGGTTTTTTCCTACTAAGTACTAGAGCTGAGGGATTTGAATGTTTATAGAGCACTGAATATATGACAAATAAAGATTTTTTCAGAAACTCCTAAATGGAGAAGAAGTTACAAAATGCTTCCTTGAAGCATAATCCCTTGTATTTCAAGTGCTGACTGGGCTGGTTTTGCAAAATAAGCATTTCTTTAAGAAAACATTTGCACACTTAAAATGTCTGCAGTCAAGAGGAAGACAGAAAGCAGTTAAGGGATCACATAAAAATATCAAATTACGAAAAAACAACTTAAAAGGTTAAGAAATAAATCAGATCCTGAGATTAAATAAATCCGACCTATGCAAATTTGCAGCAGAAAGTCTGACTGTAAAGCTTTATATTAATTATTTTAAAATAAAATCATTTGAAGTAACTTTGAATGATGTCATTGGAGATGCATCAGCTTACTCCGGCTGTGCCTTAGAAAGCAGAAGATGGGAAGCAATACCCTGTACAGTACAGACAGAACCAAGAGAAATGTTTTATTCTCTGTCTGGTTGCAGTAGATGCAATCAATCCTGAGTTCTTTATGGCTGGTTTCTCTGTTTATCACCCACCACTTGGAAAATTCCTAGGTTGTCAAAAATGGGAACTGGGAGGCAAAATGACACAAGCATCATGAAAAATTGCTATGTGCTCCAAAGGCCAGCATCGGAGAACATTACCAAACACCAAACATCCAATGATTGCTGTTGGCTTTGCAAATAAAATTCATACTCATCACTTCCCTGACTCAGAGAAACCTTTTTATTGCAGCAAGCATTAGATATTGAGCACTGCCACCAGAGACAGTATGCAGTTAGACCAGTGATCTACTCGAGAGCAAACCCCTGATTTTTTTATCAAAACCCTTTTAACCAAAGTACATATCATGTGTGTTCTATCCTTTTGCCTGCTAAATTCCATTCCTCTGAAAAGAAAATGCAGTTATTACTCGAGTATTTTTGAGGTAAGTGACAGGAAGAAAATTTCACGTGGATGTAGAGCCAGAGTGGTGATGGCTGCTGTGCATTTGCTAAGCAGAGGATGTGAACTGGCAGAAGAAACCTCCATCCATCAGCTCTGTGCTGCTCCACATTGCTGTGGACCTGTGCATGGCACCCCCACAACCCAGCCAGTCACCTAGAGAATGACAACACCATGCCCCTACCTTGTTTTAAGCACACAAAGATGCATAATGCATTGATTGGAGGGAACAGGAAAAACCACACTTCCTGAAAGGTGCTCAGAGAGGCAGTAAGTCTTCTTGAACTCTTGTCAGAGAGGCCCAGTGGCTCAAGACACTAGGGCACAAAAGTGATCTCCAGGGATTATTTTCCCCCAAATGGAGAGTACATTCTTTACATCTAGTACATCAGGACAAGATAATAACTTCAAGCTTATCCAGCAAATTGGAGCACAAAAAATGGGTGAATGACACAGAGTTTATTTTTAGTTTGGATTCTCCCCATTCTATTTAGAGCATGAAGCCCAGAGGCAACAAACAAAAAAAACCCAACAAGTCCCATGAAAATGAGTTTTGCATTAACAGCTGGGTGAGCCAGTGGAGCACATTACAAAGCAGCAACAAGGGAGGTCTGTGGAACTACAGCCCACCCAGCTGCCACCATAGCCATGCTTAGGTGAATGCTCAGTGTAAGCACACTTTCTAACTATGTTTCCTAAGGCAGGAGCTCAGGTATGAGCTAACATTGCTTGTTAAACACATGTATGAGTCTTGAGGTAATTAAAGTTCGGAGTGGGCAATGATATCAAACCTTTGACACTTCTCATGAGCTCATGCAAATTTCTATTTCACCCCATTTAGCTCTCATTGATCATTGTCTCTTTGGTCAGAAAACTCAAGCAGACTCAGACTAATACCCATTCTTCCCTGTCTGTCATGTCAACAAGTCAAATATTATTTCAAATAAGAGAAAAATGGGCAGAGCAAACCTGAAAGAAACTCACCGATCAGAGAAAAAAAAAGTTGAGAAATCTGTTCCTCAGCTCTGAGCAATTGTCAGAGATTGGGCATTTTCACAGTGATATACCAGCAGTTACATAATGTGATGATTCTGGTGAACACTAATCACTTTGGTAAATATGAGAAGCTCTGCTAATGTAGTGGTAGCTGTAAAAGACATCATCATCTAAGGCATTGGTTGGTGTGGCAAGACGCAAGCAGTCAAAATGTCCCAGGTATGTCCCAGTATAAAGCTAGAGCCAAGTTTTACTATTTCATTTGCTGTGGGATATGGGATGCATAGGCAGTGATGAAAATGAAGCAAGTGCTCATTTACAGCAGAAGAACCTCACATTGTTGAGTGCTGTGTCATCCTGAAACCCCTGTGGGGGCTCTACCTTGGTCTGGAGACCACATATGTTGCAGCTTCTGCTCCATGGACCAAATCTACCCCACGACAGTCCATCACCTACTAGCACAGTTGCATCTGAGCAACTGAACTGGATGTTGTTGGCTGCTGTCTCATCACCTCCTCCTTGGGACTTCTCTGTTCTCAGTGAGAAGGAGATCAGGTAGCCTCCAGGGCAAACCTGGAAGCTGGTCCATGTACCCCACCTGACAAAAAAGCAGACAGAGGAATGTCTGGGCTCTGCAAACTGCTGCAAAGTGCTCCTTCTCCTCACCATGCTGTCCTGAAGCTTAACATTCCCTTGCTCACAGCAGTAACTGGTACAATGTCCTGCTGCAGTCTGGGGTCCCTTACTTTCTCCTTTTTTTCCCTTCCCTTCCAAGGATGTACTTTTCTCTTGACAGGTATCATCAGAAAAACACCAGGGAGTCTGAGATTGGATAGTTATGGTTCTGGTGGAAACTCCAAGGACAGCCTCAGCACATGCTTTATGATGAATCCTTGACCCATCTGACAAGTGCACACCAGACAGCAGGGAGAGCAGACACTGTTCACTGCAGCAAGCCAGGGCTTCACCCAATCAGTTTCTAAATGTGTGGTTAAAAACCCCTTTCCTTGCATTTGCCCCATGTGTTGCAGATTTCCAGCAAAGGATTCTAGCCCTAGGACTATACTTTGGGTATTCACAGTGCTCTGCAGAAATTTCAAGAGCAAACAGAACGTGGTAAGGTGAAGTTACTGTGTTTAAGTACCCCCAAAAATGAATGAATAAAACCCCCAAATACCTATTTTAATTTACTTCATACTCAAGCACTATGCAGACAAAGCAAGTCAGAGAAGAGACCCCTGCAAATGGTGACACCTATGGATATTTTTTGAGCTAGTGCATGACAAACAAGAGAGAAACCAGAGTGTTACTTACTCCCCCACCAAGGACTCGATAACTGAGTCATCTTGACAATGCAGGCGTATGCCGTTCAGAGCTGTGTCATCTCTTCCAAACTGGGAGGGCTCCACCTGCAGTAGAAGACACAGGGACAGAGGGAAAGGCAAGGGGGAGAAGGCTCAGGAAAAGTCCTTTAAGTGCCAGTTGTAGACGGTCCCACTCCATTCTGTAATGATAATGAGAAAATGTCTTGGAAGCACATGGGAAAAGATCTCTGTCACACTGGGAAACTGCAACGTACCTACATAACCCTTGTAACATGTTCTTCTCTGTGTTTTCTAACTATTTCTGTCCCACCGTGTAAGGCAGAGACTCTGAGTCCTGGGAGAAATGCTGGAGGAGGCTGCCTCTCTCCCTGACTCCTGCAGCAGATTTCGGCACTGACGTGGCTTCTCCCAGCAACATCAGCCACATGGAGACCGTGCCTCTGCTAGCACATCTTTCTCCAGATTGAGAACAAAACAATTCTGGTAGTAGCTCTGTTTTTCTTTGTCTAATGGGAGACCTCTTGTCCTAAAAGAAAAAAAAAATCGTATTTTTCTTTACTGATGTAACTACAGTGGCAACATTTTCTAGGGTAATTTTTCCAGAAGACTCATAGTTTTATGTACAGAGCACCATACTCAGAAAGAGGAAAAACTCTGCAGAAAGTCCTTATATTCTGGAGAAGACTCTCATGGGAGCTGGAGATCTCCCAGGGTGCAGGGACAGGAGATGGTGGGAAATAAGGAGAATTTTAATTTACCTTCAGCGCAAATCCATTGGCATAGCCGTAGCGACAAAATTGCTGACTCCCCCACTTGCCCCAGTGCCCTCCATTGGGCACAGTGAGGACAGAGGTGTATTCACGTGCCCCTGTGCCCGGGATGCAGAGAGAGAGGAGCAATATGTGGGTAGCTGGCATGAGGAGCTTCATCTCTGGAACTCTCCATCTGCTGAAGAAGAGCTGGTATATGGACGGGGGAATTTATACCCTGCCAAGGCAGCTTGCCTTTCCCCACCAGTCCATCAACAAACACTGTAGGAACAATAGTTTCCACCTGGGCAGTGACACAGCACTTGCTGACCTGCTCACAGTGTCCGTGAGGAGCTCCCTGGGAGCACAGAGAGGTTGACAGCCAACATGTGACACATGCTGTGGCTGCAGGGGTATCCACCACCACTGAAGGCCTACAGAGAAACCTACATGCTCCTTGCAGTGCTCATGGTGGCTGTGGAGCAATTTGGCAGAGGCTTGATATGGATTTCCGCTGCTGGCTCTTGGCATAACTT